TCTATGCTCCAAAAATATCATGGTGATCCGTCCCATATGTTAGATTTCAGCTAAGTCCAGTTGGACAAGGATTTGACTTATGGGGAGGAGCCGGTAGCTATTCTAGCCCGGCATGTCCGACAGTTGAGGTCTAAGAGTTATCTTTCAGTTCGGGTGTAATGGAGAGGCCAGCCGGTATAAGCATCTACTTGGGAGTCCGAGTCGGACATGCAGAGTAGATATCCACACCTTTTCACCAGCTCAAGTAATTTTCTTATTCCGTTCGAGGACGAACGTTTGTTTTAGAGGTGGAGAATGTGATGACCCAATACGTCATCTTTAATTTTAAATATTATTTATGTGTTCTAAAACCTCAAATAGCACCATTTATCTTTTCTCGACTTGCGTGCACTAATCGTAAATTTTTTCGGAAAGTTTTTATGTGAAAAATTGATAAAAATATGAAATAGTTCTTTAAAACTCACTTAAGTTGACATCGGATAACATTTTGGGCAAACAGACCTGGATCAGTATTTTGACAGTTCCGGTAGGTCCGTATCGTGATTTGAGACTTGGAAATATGCCCGGAATTGAATTCGGAGGTCCCTAGCTTGAGTTATCGTTTTTTGTCAAAAATTGAAGTTAAAAGCTTTAATGACTTTAAAGAATTGACCAATGCTTGACTTTGTTGGTACCGGGTCCGTATTCTGGTTTCAAAATCCGGTATAGATCCACTACTATATTTATGACTTGTCTGTCAAATTTGGTGAGAAACAGAGTTGGTTTGACGTGATTTGGATGTCCGGTTGTTAAAATATAAGTTCTAAAGTTTTATTGAAAATTTCATTTGATTTGGTGTCCGATTCGGTGTTCTAGGCATTACATTGGTGTTTTGATCGTGCGAGCGATTTCGTATGAGGTTTTTGGACTTGTGTGCATATTTGGTTTGGAGCCCCGAGGGCTCGGGTGAGTTTCGGATAGCCTACTGACCTTAGTTCTCTAAAAACAATCTGGTTTTTGGGACTTCTGCTGGTTTTTGGTGTCATGTGCTTCGCGAACGCGAAGCCTTTCTCGTGAACGGGAAGAGGAATTTGGGGTAGAGGGCTCCTGCACATCGCGAACGCGACAGGCCCTTCGCGAACGCGAAGAAGGCCTCACGCCAACGATTAAAACAGACAAAAAACGGGATTTTTCACATTTTTCACAAACCCTCCATTAGAGCTCGGTCTAGGGGCAATTTCAAATGAGTGTTTCACGATTTCGAACTGGGTAAGTGTTCTTTATCATATAGTGATTATATTTCATAAATACATGTCTATATTCATCATTTATTTCGGATTTAGATGGAAGAAAATTGGAATTTTTGTAAAATTTTCCAAAAACGAAATTTAAGATTTGAAGGTTCATTTGACATCGAAATTTGATAATTTGTATATGGTTGGACTCGTCTCGGAACGGGTATTCGGGTTTCATAAGTTTTTCCAAGATTCGAGATGTGGGCCCCACTGTTGATTTTTTTAGATGAATTTCGGATTTTAATCTGGAAACTTACTAAATTCATATGGAATTAATTCCTACGATTTGTATTGAGTATATTGAATTCTTTATGACTAGATTTGAGGATTTCGGACATGAATTCATAAGGCAAAGGTTTATGGATTCTTGAATTTGTTTGTAAAGCGAGATAAGTGTCGTGGTTAACCTTGACTTGAGGGAGTAAGATTTATTTGTCTATTTGTTGCGTGATTTAATGTGCGGGTACAATGTATATGTGAGGTGACGAGTGCTTATGTGTTGTGGTTGAGTTAAAGCATGATGGGGGAATTTATTTCATTTTGAATAATTGCTTATTTAATTAAGATATTCCTGTTTAAGTTTATTATTGATTATTTGATCATTATTCATGAAATGTTTATTGATTTATTTATTGTTGTATATGGTGAGAAAGAGTGTGAAAGAACGAAGGGTGATGCCATCCATTTTTATTATTTATACTATCATTGTCATGGTGAGAAAGAGTGTAAAAGCATGAAGGGTGTTGCCGTGTCAATTTTGAGAGTAAAAGCACGAAGGGTGATGCCGTGCCATTTTCAGAGAGTGTAAAAGCACGAAGGGCAATGCCGTGCCAATTATTATTATTCATTTGTCAGTTTATGGGAGGAATGAGAGTAAAAGCACGAAGGGTGGTGCCGTGCCATTTTCATATTATCTGTTGCTCATTTTTACTGTTGAGGAACTAATTGGCTGCTAAGTGATAATTTTTCCACTGAAATTATTATATCCTTCCCCTTCGCATGTTCCCTCCCAAATTTATAAAGTGTTATTTATTGTATTTATTGTTGCTTCGTATTTGTATATACTTGTACATGTTGTTTATGTATGTGTCCTGTCATAGCCTTGTCACTACTTCATCGAGGTTAGGCTCGACACTTACAGAATATATGGGGTCGGTTGTACTCATACTAAACTCTGCACTTCTTATACAGATTTTGGAGTTGGTCCCAGCGGCGTACCATAGACTTGCTCGGATTCAGCTACTCAAAGTAGACTTGAGATATAACTGCACATCGTTCGCAGTTCTGAAGTTCTCTTCTATCTTATCTTAGCTATGTATTATCTTTCAAACAGCTTGAATTTTATTCAGACCATTATTTATATTATCCTAGTAGCTCGTGCACTTGTGACACCAGATTCTGGGATGTATTTTGATGATTCAGTTTTTGTGGTCTTCCGCACTTTATTTCAGTAATTGACTTCTGCTTATATTGATTTGTTTAAAAATGGTTAAGATTTTTCTAACGTTGGCTTGCCTAGCAGGTGAAATGTTAGGCGCCATCACGGTCCCGAAGGTGAAAATTTCGGGTCGTGACACCTCTCTATCTTCATAAGGTAGGGATAAGGTCTGCGCACATACTACCCTCCCCAGACCCCACTTGTGGGATTACAATTGTTGTTATTGTTGAAGATGTATTTCAAGTAAAAAAGAACTAGTTTCCACTAATAAATATCATTTTCATAGTTTTTTTCAAGTGAAGTTCGTGTCTGAACGTCACCGTTGCGACCAAACACACTCACGCAAGTATACGTGGTCGTCAAGTAATAGAGTAGTATGTAGAGTATCATTCCCACAGAGACTTATGATTAACTTTTGACTAATCCAAACTCAAATAACTTATCGATTCAAGAGATTTCTCACAAAATGTGTAAGTGACTAATTTACTATCTAAGAGACTATCAAGCAATAAAATAACTAGAAATCAACCACAATACTTAAGTAATTTCGAATAAAAATCAGTAGGAGAGAGTATTCCAGGGTCATAGGCTAGCTAACAATCCTGTTGCGCTCTTGGGTTAAAATGACTAATTGATTTATCTGGATTGTTGATTGACAGGGTTGATATTACTCATAATAATTTATCGATTTCTTACTCGTCTATTCAAGCTAACTTAATGTCTATATGTCTATAGAATTAAGACTAACAAGAATACATTTATACTTCCTGTATTTCAACCAAACAAGGCAATTAGGTATATTTCTATCCTAATTGCGAATTCGTTCCCCAATACCCGGGTTTAAGAACTTGCTCTATTTAATTCTATATGCAATCTAGAATTCCCACTTTCGAGTTCAACTCTAGATTCATAGATAGTATTTCACTGTTATCTACTCAGCAAAATAATTATAAACCAAATTAAATAAATAACCCAACATGATAAAATCAAACTCGTTAATTTAAACTTCAAACGTCAACATTCATGTAGCACACATGACCCCAGAACAATAGGGTTCTTAGAATAAGAAGAATACTATGAATACTAGAAGAAGAATGGAAGAATTGATCAAATCTATGCTCCCGAGTATTTCGTACTTATGTTCTTCTCTCAAAGTTACGTCCTCCCCCTCAAAATAGGTTTAGATTGGCTTTTATATGAGTTGGGGGTGCCTTGGGGTCGAAATAACCGAGTCGGAGTCGAAATAGGACATGTTCACGTTTCAAGCGTCCAGGCTAGCGTGGGGCGCTGGCCCTGGTGCTCAACCTTTCTTCATTCTATTTTGTGCACCACAGGTAGCGCCTCACGCTGCATGTGGCGCTCAACTGAGCCATTTCTCCTTTTCTTCCCATTTTTGCTCCAATCGCGCACTTTCGTCCCAAATCGCATCCGAATGATTCCTACACATAGAAATACCCCAAATTAGCATAAATTATTATATTATACATCCGAAATTTACGAGACATGAGCATAATGTGAGGTAATATACATCAAAATATGCATACATTAAGCCGAATATCATTCACTTAATTTTCATAACGCTTTTTTCAACTTCAACTTTAAATACTCCTTTTTTCAGCTTTAACTCAATATTGTTCAAATGCCTACTGAATTGTCACTTTAGGAGAAGTACATTTTGATCAAGAAAGGATTCATAAACTACATGAAGTGTGAGTAGAGACAATGTCTATATTTAAGACAAAAAAAAAAGTCATGGCATAGAGGGAGAACTTAAAAGGCAAAGACACCCGAGGTTGTGGTCAAGCAGCCAATGGAGTAGGATAATTATGAGAGATAAGAACTCAAATCTTAATTGAGATGAAAAAAATATTAAATAATTTCTTCTCATTTACGTAAATTTTTATTGATAGAGTTATTCTATATTTGGGGGTTTGAGACTATAAAAAAAATAGAAAAGCAAAGGGGCGAGAAGTAGGAAACTCTCTTTTGGTATTATTGCACATATGATGTATCAAGAACACATCTTATCACAAATCTTCTATTGAATCGTGTAGCCAACACAATATATATACTAATGAGTTGTATACATGAATACGATATTAAGACATTAAACTAAAAAGGAGGCAACAATTTGGTGGCTAAGCACACTTGATTAAAAAAAGGATTCAAGTCCAAAATTATTTAATATCAGTTGACAAATAAATAAGTACTGTTCATTTGCATTTAATACCATTAAATTCTACAAGCCTACAATTAAATACACACATGAAATGTCCTACTACTCCCATTTCCTTTCCACCTTCCTCTCTCTTCCCTTAATTATATCTCCTCTTTCCCCCTTCTATTCCTTCTTATAAACTCACTACTTTTCATATCCAAAAACTCCATTAAAACTTACTCAACAAAAAAGTGTGAATATTTCAAAATCCCAAGTCTTAAGCCATATATTAAGAGAATTTAGCTATTATGTACAAGAAAATGAAGATTTCTTCTATTTTCAAGAAAAGAGAAATAGGGGCAACCAATTGGCAATGGCCATCTTGTGCACATCCCAAGACTCTATCTTTTAGAGCAGACGACAATATTTTCAAGACTATTAATTCAGTCTTTTTTGAGCCTTTAGATGGAATTGAAACCTCAGAATCTTGGTTCACAAATTCCTCATCAGAATCAGCTAGCATTTCAACAGAATCTAATGAAGAATGCTTAAGAGGAGATCAACCTTTGGAAATGATCATAAAAGGGGTTAGATCAGAAAGACTATTTTTTGAGCCTGGTAATACAAGTTCAATATTTCAAGAACCAAAACCATGTAAAAATCAAGAACAGGAAGATGAAGAAGAAAATAAAGAAGATGATTTGCCATTTAAAGAGAGTATAGTTTTGGCTATGGAATCAGAGGATCCTTATTTGGATTTCAAGAAGTCAATGAAAGAAATGGTGGAAAGTCAAGGGATTAAAGATTGGGAAGATTTACAAGAGTTATTAGCATGGTATTTGAAGATGAATGGGAAAGTAAATCATGGATTTATTTTGAGTGCTTTTGTGGATTTGCTTATTGAACTTGCTGCCCCTACTGATCCTACTACTTCTGATAATTCTATTACTTCTTATTCTTCTGTTGCTTCTTCATCTTTCTCTTGCCCTTCTTCTCCTTTGTCTCTTGTTGGACATAAGGAGATTGAGGAGCAAGAAAATGGAGAAGTCCCTTAGGCTCCAGTGTGATTTTATTTTTTTTGGTTTGATTGTTCAGCATACGAAATCTGCTGATCCGACTACTTCAGATTCATGCAGAATAGTTCTATTCTCTATCGAAAGAATTTTTCATTTCCGAGATGTCCGAGACCGTGTAAATAAATGGAGAGATCAAAATCATTCCAATATACTGCTTGGTAGTAGTGTGGTTTCATTTTGTATATACTAAATTACTTAGTTTAATGGAAACAAATATATATTTTTCTATTATATATGTTACAAACAAGGGTCATCAGTTTTTTTCTTTTTTTACGCTATCCTACTTCATGAAAATAAATAAAAGGAAACAAAAATATTCAAGAGCATACTTGAAAAGTCATAACTTTGGAATAAATGCAGTCACAATATAATAGGTGTTTTTTTTTTCCTCCTGTTTTTTTGGCATTAAAAGGTGATTGACCTTATTAGTGAAAACGTAAGAGTTTTGAGGTCACCTTCTTGTCTGAGAATAAGACAATCGCTCTTACCCTTTTCAATAGAGACGGAAAAAAGTTGTGCATTCCTCAAAAAGGTCATAGTTGCATATTTACATGGCCAGTGATATAATTAGAAAAAAAAAATTCATTCTGTTTGAATAATTTGAGCTTTATTATCTACTATACTTTTCGTGTATCTTGAGTCGACCCCTCTATCGTGAAGGAAAGAGTAAGGTCTGCGTACACACTATTCTCTTTATATCTTACTTGTGAGATTATACTGATTTTGTTATTTGTTTATAGCCAGAGGCGGATCAAGTGTGAGAGTTATGGGTTCAATTGAACCCATAACTTTTGACGTGGAATAGAAAATTATGTGTAAAAATTCATTAAAATTACAAAAATAATAGATTTAAACCCATACTTTAAATATATAATGGGTTCAATGTTAAAAATCTTAAAACTTGAACCCATAGAATTTAAATCCTGAATCCGCCTCTCTTTATAGCTACTATATCATATATACGGAATTTCATAATTCGTAAGTTTCTTTTCCTTCTTTTGAAGAAACTCGCCTTACATTATCATTAGAGTTAATTACATTAAACACTCCTGTAATATGACTCAGTTTCGGATACACCCCCTGTATTTTAAAATCAAACACTTATACCCTTATACTATGAAAATCCTATACGTACACCCCTTATGAGTATATCCATAACTAATTATATTATAATATAATTGTTATAAAATAAATAAAAATCATAAATAAAAAGTTTTTATATATTTAACAAAAAAATATTTTGGTTGAAAATCTTTATTCACGTTTTTGGTTAAAAAAGAAAATAACTATTTTGTTTAAAATGTATCTTTTGAAAATCTTACATAGGAAATGAACACAAGTTACTCAATATTTTGCATATTTTTTGTCATCTTATTAAGTAATTTGTTCATTTCTTATTGAGTTTCGAAGTTACATGTTTCAAAAAATATTTATTCTATTTTTTAATCAAAGGCGTGGATAAGTGTTTTTAAATTTTATATTCTTTTTATAATTTCATAAAAGTAAATACGTAAAACTTTTTGATTTATAATTTTAATTTATATTTTATAATTATATTTTAATATACTTAGCTTCGAACATTACCTCATAAGAGGTGTAAGTATAGAATTTTCATAGCATAGGGGGTGTAAATATTTGATTTTATAATATAGGGGTGCAACCAACAAACTAATAAGATGATGATGTTAAGACGCAGAATGGAGCTGAGCTAGTAAGGCAGCGAAGAATAAGTTATTCGGCGTCCAAGGATTTGACCTAATGGTCTATTTCTGGTCAATGAAATAGAGTAAAAATTATGAAAGATCATAATTGAAATTCCAACACAGGCAAAAATACAAGGTAATTTGCAGCAATGGATAGGAGAAGCATCACGTGTTTCATTTATTTGCAGCAATTAGAAGTAGTCATCACATGATCATGTGGTGTGAACTGTGAAGGAGAGTAATAATAGTGTTTGTAAAATAAAAAAAAGAAGTTTAAAGTAGTTATCTTTTTAAGGGTTGCTGAAGACAGATAGAAAAGAGTAACAGCCTGGAATGACAAAATTATATATAGGAGTTAGGACCATCGATCATCTCACACAGTGTCTGCCTAAACTCTCCCCACCATCCTTTGGACCATTATCTTCTATATGCATGAATTTTACATGAGATCTATGAGCTGATTTTTGTATAGAATACCATGTGTATACGGTCAAAATCGAATTTGCCCTTCGTGCGACTAATCAAGATTGGAGCATGATGGATCGAGGTTCGTCATTATAATATCGAGTTATGATGTGAAGTTGGAAGGTCGAGCTCGAGACCCAGAGACCGATCAGTACCGAGATCGAGTCAAGGTCGAGCTCGAGACCCAGAGACCGATCAAATATCGAGTTCGAGTCAAGGTCGAGCTCGAGATCCAGAGACCGATCAAATACTGAGATCACGTCAAGGTCAAGCTCGAGACCCAGAGACCGACCGAGATTGAGATCGAGCCAAGGAACAACAAAGTCGTTATAGCCGCATTTGGGGAGAGAATCTCGGCTGAAATCACGGCTTGAATCAAGGAAAAGTCAATTAATTAATCTATCATGGGATCCCCACTATGTATTTTTAATCATATCCAAATTAGGATTCCTCCACTATATTAGGAGTGGCTAACATTAGCAAAGGGCAGATTGAGATACATTCACACATTCTCACATTTAGAGATTATTGAGATTTACATAACATCTAGTAAATATTATCCTTTTTTGGGCTTTTGATATTGATTCATCTTGTTCATTTATCAATCATTCTCTACTCAATTAGGGTTTGTATTCATTCCTTTTTACAGTCAATATTCAATATATCCCTACTTATTTTTCCAATTTGTGCCGAGTTATACCACATATCTTTAGAACTACGTATAAATTCAACTCTATCTGTTTTTCGGGTAAACAATTTGACGCCCACCGTAGGGCTAAGGATAACAGTAGTTATTTGGTACGAATATCTGCAAAACATACCATTTTACACTTGCTCTTGGAAGAATCTTTGATTTCAGGTTTAAAACGACGAACTCTCAATTAATGGCCCTACCTATCGACAACGAAGCTGGCCTTCAAGATGAGAAAAACAATCTGACGACCGGGGATAAAAGGCCACCCGTCGATCCTGTTGGAGCTCGGACCGTAGATCCGATTGACGTTAATTCACATGTGAACATCGAGGCGAACCAACGTTCCGACCCCGAAAACAGCATTCATGGTGGAACTCGATCTGTAGTTCGAAATACCCGAAATGTTGGAGAAGACGGGATCAGACTGCGTATGGTTTTTGAAATGTTGCAAGCTCAACAAGTAGCAATAACTCAGTTGCAGAGCTAAATCCAGACACCGAGCAGGGCCGAGCCCGGTCCATCCCGAGAAGTCACCCACAAAAAGGGGCCAGCTATAGTAAGATCATATGAACAAGAATCAGGGACTAATCAAGAAATTATTAGGATGCTCGAGGAACTTACAAAACAAATTGAGTCAGGAGAAAAGTGGATTGAAGCAAACGACAAAAAAATAGAAACTTATAACTCAGGGTTGATCAAATCCCGGGGGCACCACCTATATTGAAGGGCTTGGACTCCAAAAAATTCGTACAAAAGTCTTTCCCCCCGAGCGCAGCTCCCACACCGATCCCCAAGAAGTTTCGCATGTCCAAAATTCCTAAATATAATGGGACGACTGACCCCAACGAACATGTCACCTATTACACATGTGCCATTAAAGGGACACAATCTAGAAGACGATGAGATCGAATCCCTATTATTGAAGAAGTTCGGGGAAACCCTGTCAAAAGGGGCAATGGTATGGTATCATAATTTACCGCCTAACTCTATCAATTCTTTTGCTATGCTTGCAGATTCTTTCGTAAAAGCACATGCCAGAGCCATAAAGGTCGAGACCAGGAAGTCAGACCTTTTCAAGGTAAGGCCGAAAGATAACGAGATGCTAAGAGAGTTCGTATCTCGTTTCCAAATGGAATGAATAGATCTACCACCGGTCACAGACGATTGGGCTGTTGAAGCTTTCACACAAGGACTGAATGAACGAAGCTCGATGGATTCAAGACAGTTGAAGCAAAACTTAATCGAGTACCCGATTGTTAACTGGGCCGATGTACATAATCGATATCAATTGAAGATTAGAGTCTAAGATGAACAGTTGGGTTCTGGGTCCGTTATTAAAAAGGACATCAATCGTGAACCAAGGTCAAGCAAGGACTGATATTGGCCGTATAACGAAGATCGTAAAGGTAGCGAACCTGCATGCAACTTCGTACGAGGCGAAAGGAGAAGTGATCGAGGCCAAAGGTCTCGGGGGATGATGAATAAGAATGAGTTCGACAGGCATACCAGAGCTAAGAAAGTACCACGATTATCAGAATATAACTTCAACATCGATGCATCCGCCATCGTGTCAACTATCGGACGCATCAAAGATACTAAGTGGCCTCGACCTCTACAGTCCAATCCAGCCTAGAGAAATCCCAATCAAATGTGCAAGTATCATAGCACCCATGGCCACAGAACTGAAGACTGTAGGAAGTTGAGATAGGAGGTAGCCCGGTTATTCAATGAAGGGCACCTTCGAGAATGTTTAAGTGACCGGGCCAAAAACCATTTCAAAAATAGAGATTTCAATAGAAAAAACGAAAAAAGAAGAGCCACAACACATCATCCACATGATCATCGGAGGGATCGATGTCCCCTAGGGGCCGGTGCTTAAACGCACTAAGATGTCGATTGTAAGAGAGATGCTATCTCAGACTCAGGATTACACACCAAAACGAATCTTGTCCTTTAGTGACGAGACGCGGAAGGAATCATGCAACCCCATATCGGTGCACTGGTAATATCTGTACTTATGAATAAAACTCAAGTTAAGCGTGCGTTAATTGATCCAGGTAGCTCGGCCAACATCATTCAATCAAGGGTCATAGAGCAACTCGGTCTACAGGACCAGGTCATGCCCGCAACCCTGGTACTAAACGAATTCAATATGGTGTGTGAAACTACTAAGGGCGAGATAATTTTGCCAGTAAACGTGGCTGGGACCATCCAAGAAATGAAGTTCCACGTGATCGAGGGTGATATGAGATATAACACCCTGTTCAGGAGGCCATGGATCCACAAC